GGTACTACCAGTTGGCAGCCACAATTGTCAAAGTGAGAGCTTAGAAGCAACTGATACGCCCGGTCCTGACCTATGGATCGCCTGCCTGGTCCACGGTCAGCATCACGCAGACAGAAGATGGCAGCTCAGCAGATGTCAGAAACATGACACCGTGGCGAGACCTAAAGACAGAAGACCTTCAGGACCACATCAGGCACTTCACGGGGCTCGGCAAAGCAAGAATTCCACTGTCAAGGTTTCTTGCACAAAGTACAAGGCACGGTCTGAGAAGAATACGTGGACCACATGCGATGACCATGCTTTAAGTTAGGATTAGGATTAGGTAAAGGTAGTTAAGTCTGAGGTCACAAAAAGTACCCGTAGACTAAGTAGCAAAAAGACGGTGTAATTCTTGTTTGAAAATAAATATGTTCAAATTTGACTTTCATCTCGGACGCAGTCACCTTGTCAGTATCAAATAAAAACAATAAAAAAAGTCCGAACGTAATTCAGGTTCTGCTGCTTGGTGGTGCGGGTGGCTTGCCCTCAAGCATAAAATTTGGCAGACGACCAGATGGCACAGAAGATTTGTCTGAATGTTAATTTATGCGCTTGAAGGACCGGGCGTATCCGGGCATCTTCTGGATCTTGGCAAAAAACGGCAGCTTTTTCAAAAATATTTCAAGTACAAAATGTTCGAAATAGGAAACACTACAATATAAGTAGTATTGCGAGTTTTTCAATCATTCTCGTTAGGCAAAATCGGCCGAGAAAAATCGTCAGAATCGTAAATTTAAGCACCTACCCAAGAAATTGCAATTCTGGCCGAAAGCGGTATTTTTTCAAAAAAAGTTTCAAATAAAACGTGTTCGAAATAGGAAACACCACAACATGAGTAGGATTGGCAAATTTTCATTTATTCTCGTTAGCCCAAATCGGCTGATAAAAATGGTTAGAATCTTAAATTTGTACAGTTTTCCAAAAAAATTGCATTTCTGGCCGACAGCGGCATTTTTTCAAAAAAAGTTTCAAATAAAAAGTGTTCGAAATAGGCCACACAACAATATGAGTAGTAT